TTTGCCATTATTCTGTCTGAATTTTCATCCACTCTTCCAGACGGATTAATTTAGAAGATATAATTATTCTCCTGTGCTGATTCTTCATTTTAATGATTAAATTTAACATAAGATATTGGCTTAATCCCCTAGTTCTAGGGGATTAAGCCAATATCTTATGTTAAATCTTAGTTTTTTAATAATTTGAGTAGCCTTATCACGACTCAATATGAATCCGGATGTACCATTTGATTATTAACAAATATCAGGCTTGATTTTATATGTAAAATAATTATGATATTGATAAAACATCCTATGCATGTTGTTATATTATTGCAAATTAGAGAGACAAATAATTTTAAAATAATATAAATATATTTATATTTTTCTACCCTGAAGTGTGCTAAATGTGTATTTCAATGTAGCTGATTCATATGTTATCAATAGTTACTGACATCAATGGTGACATACTTTTCTGATTGTTATTTTTGGAACAGTCTTCTATGCTACTCACAATCCCTCTTTATAGAATAAATAATTTTATGCTTTTATACATGTCTCTGTTAATCAATTTTATTATAAGATCACCTTACAAGTTTTGTCAAGAAGAGGATATATTTATTACCAAACAAGTCAGTCAGCAAGAGTAATTACTGTATAACAAAAGACAGAAATATGGTTATTCTGTTAACTTGATTCAAAGTGTAAATAAGAAAATTTCTATAATTTGCTAATTATTTAATAATTAAAATGTGTATTGTTTAATAGGTGTTACCAAAAGTATACCACTCTATGCAAAGAGGAGAGAGAGGGATTCAAATTGCAGCTCATAAACCAAACACATTATTAATGAATGACATTATAAAGAATGAAAAGAAGCCCTACCTGATCTACAATAGAGCATATATTTACAGTATTTCAGGAGAAATCTTAGATAAAAAAAGTATTGTGTAGTTCTATGTTTTAATAATGCTAAAGGCTCTCCAGTATAAGATAAATTAATCGTTTTCAATTTAAATTTATATACACAATCGGTAGAAAGTAACTACGTATTGAAATATTGCTACAACTTTTGTAATAATAGTGCAATCAGAATAAAATTTATATATGCTTGTACACAATTAATGGAATTTTAGAATTCCCACATCAGTGGTATGGGCAGTGGTCCAAAAAAAAGAAAAAGCCAATCGCTCAAATGTTTGGGAGCAAGTGCAGATTACTGCACGCTACGAGTTGTGGAAATCAGTGGTTGCTGTGCAGCAAAGTGATGCATGATCTGTTAAGAAAAAATTCAGAATTGTCATTCAAAGCTAAAATGACCACAGATTCAGTTATGGACATACGGAAGAGCCACCCATCCACATCACAATCTGAGGAAAATGTGTTGTTGTTGGTGGATGGCACCAGTACTTTCATTGAATTTTAAGATATGCATCATATTTCTATTTATTAAGTTATATGTCAAATAATTTTCATTATCTATGCATTAGAAATATAGAAATTATAGCAATTTCTCAATGCCTTTTCTCCCACCCTGTATATAAATTATCATAAGAATTANTTTTGCTTAAATATGCTACTTTCAAGGAATCTATCTTCTGCGTTAAACAAGAACTACACGTATTTAAAAGTAAACATACTATACAGCAATACAAATGAATTAAATTGGAAGTAAATAACAATCTTGTACTCACTCATTTAACCTTTACTTTCCGGTACTGCTTAAACTTCGTAAAACAAATGTTTTTGGCCTCACTCAAGGTTGTGCGCACATGTTCGAATTTATTTAAAAACTCAACATTCCTTCAAGTATCATTCTAAGATTGGAAACCGGGTTTTTTTTCTTGTAACCTGAAGCAACCTCGAGTGAGGCCGAAAACATTTCTTTTATAAAGTTTAAGCAGTACTGGAAAGTAAAGGTTAAATGAGTGAGTACGAGATTATTCAAAATACCGGTATTCAGAATAGAAGATATTGTGGAAGTAAATAAATTTTAAAAAAATGTTTATGAGCATCTTTTACTATTTTTTACCAGTCACCGATAGATAAAACTACAGAAGACTGGCAGTCATTCGTGGGTTTGTCTCTCACCAAACATCAGGCCATGTGGATATTTCTGAGTTTTCGTGTATCTAACAGTTTAATAGGGGAAAAGCTCACCCGAGAGGTGCCCTCCTGACAGATCACTTGTGTGTTTTGTTACCGTATCCCATTAAACTAAACCAGATACTAACAGTTCATCATTTAAATTTTTCATCTCCATTACAATCTTATGGGACCTTCGTCATTAAATGGCGCACACTTATATTTATTTGTTTTTATGAATATTTTTATATGTAATTTGGTTATTATTGTTAAAATAAGTTAATATTTAATTCATTTTCATAAATTTTCTAAATAAATAAATACAGTAGTTATGTAAATTTGTTTTTCTGCATTGCATTTGATTTGCAGGTGGAAGAAATTTTGCCATTTTAGTAAGCTCGGTTTGTTCATTCAAATTATATTTTATTTAGAAATTATATTCAATTTATAAATTATAACTAGAGCCATTGATCATCGTAACTCATCGAAAATAAAATAGACAATGCGGCCAATTCATCATTTGATATTAATAATAATGTTGATAATTCCATTAATGTCAGCATCTAACCTTAATGGTTGAGTGTCATTAATATTCTTCACACTTCAAATTATCACTTAATTTTTTAATTTTATTAAGTATATTTATATGATAATAAATTTTTATGTGAAATTAAAATATAAGAATGTTTCTGTCTCCCTTAAGAAGCCTTTCTTGGGTGTTTATTGTCACAAATTTCTATGTTAGAGCATGATTGAAATACTCTGCTAGGAGCAGTAAGGTTTCAATTGTAACAATGTTTCTGAAAAATTAATATATAGAAATATCTGAATAAAACAAAAATCCAAAATATAATTCTTCTTTGGGACAAATGGTTTTATAAAATTTTAACTTAATAAGCCTTTTTATAGTGTCAAAAATGTTAGAATTATATACATTTCCTTGAATAGTTTGTCTGTCTGTCCAATCACTCCACACCCAAAATACTGAGTTCCTTTTATAGATAACTAGAAGTTTGTATAGATAAATTTTGTAAGAATTACTTAATAATTTAAAATATTAAATCTTGGAGTAGTTAGTTTAGAAATTTTCATTAAATTCTGATTAGTTTGTTTATCTATTTATTTTAATTTATTTTTCTTGTAATCAATATGTTTTATTATTATTCTGCTTGATGTTTCCTTTTTACTGTTCTTTTTTAATCCTCTATTTTTGTTTAATTGTTAGTACTATGATGATATTTTGACATATAATATACAGATTACTACTTTTTTTTATGCCTGCTTGTTTGTGGTATTCTGATAAGTAATCAAATTACTTACTAAAGTTACCGATAAACTGTGATGAATCACACGTGGGTGTCGCCAACGACTCCTGTCTTCCAGGAAGCAGGTGATTAAATGTGGGATCCCATTTTATAATGATTATATTGACAAATATAGTGTCTCATTCTTACTATTTCTTTTTAATGTAAGATCTGACTTATCTTTAAAATTAAATTGTAATATTATACAGAAAAAAATATAGGATCTGTCATAGTTCCTGTAGACCTTAATTAAAACTAGTGTGTTTATAATGGTTTTAATAGGAACAGAAGAACAATTATTGATATTACTCATTTGAATGAATAAATGCATAAAAATGAAGTGATTCAGATCACCGAATCATTCTGCTTATCTCTAATTATATTGTTATATTAATTATTCATCACCAGTCAGTTAGAATTTCATTTATATTAATCTCAAGTGTACAATCAAATTATCTGTTTTAGAAGAGCAATTTTTCTGTAGAAATTTGACAACTATATCAAGTTATGTCGAGAAGTCAAAGACTCTTTGCTGTCGGGAATTTTAAATTTGAAAAAGCAATTTTGCTAATATTCAGATTTAGAGATTATTTTGTGATCATTCATTAGTTACGTGTACATTTTAAGGAGGTTGTAAAAAGTGCGTCGACGTACTTGACGGGGGAAGCATCAAGACATTGTCTATATGTCATTGGCATAAGCTTTCTTACTATCGTTTCAATTAATTATCAGTCAGAAAATATTTGCATTAATGGAGCAGTAATAACCACTGTTCAGTTAATGATTTACTACTAAACTTTACATGCCCTGTACCTGTAATTAGGTAACATGACTATAACATAAGAAATTTCTTTTATACATCATCTTTCTAAACAATTATTTTCTCCAGTTTATCTAGAAAATGCTTGTCTTGATTTTTTATGTGTATGTTTCTTAGTTTTGTAAGCTTCTCTTGCAGGAAAATTATAAAACTCAGAAATATATTAATGGCTTCTTCATTTCTATGAACATGAATGAGGAATGTGGCTTGTGTTTACTTGTAATAGACAAGAAGCAGCATCAAAAATAACTAATTTAAACATCAGAGATTATTGTATTTGGTCTATTTAAATCTTGTTTCTTTCATTGAGGCAACATTTAAAATGAAATAATACTTGGGATTTGAGACATAAGGTCAACAGAGTACATTTTATAATAATAATTTTATGTTTTTTTTACATTTTCTTTCCATTTATTCCATAAATACATTTAAAAGATAATTCATATCAAATTACCATTGAAAATGAATTTAATACAAGCTCAAAAACATTAATGTAAATTAACAACAAGTTAAAATATTTGATATGTTCGGTTTATTACTTCTCAGTTGGAATCTTTCCAAGTTCATGAAACTATTATGAAGAATTTTTTGGCTTTGTTGCCCCATTTATCTGACGTAACCTGAATAAATATATAAACCAAGCTAATAATAACATTTTTTCTTTTTATTTTTTTTATTAAATCATAAAGAAAGAGCATTTAGATGAATGAAAATTTGAATAATTGATAAAATTTCTTTAGATAAAATAGCAACTTATTTATAAGTTTTTAATTTATTACATAAAAGTGATGAAATATTTAATAATATTTTAGACTGCATGCTTCCAAGAAGAACGAGATGTCTTGGTTAACGGAGATAAAAGATGGATTACAAACTTGCATTACTCATTTCAAGATGGCAAAAATTTGGTGAGTGAGGAATTTATTTCTTTATTATAAAACCCTCGTTAAACTTAACGAATACAAATTAGTGGGACGCAGTCGTAGATATCAAATTACATATAACTTATTAAAGATCCGTAGATGTTATTTAAGCTCGGTTTGTTCATTCAAATTATATTTTATTTAGAAATTATATTCAATTTATAAATTATAACTAGAGCCATTGATCATCGTAACTCATCGAAAATAAAATAGACAATGCGGCCAATTCATCATTTGATATTAATAATAATGTTGATAATTCCATTAATGTCAGCATCTAACCTTAATGGTTGAGTGTCATTAATATTCTTCACACTTCAAATTATCACTTAATTTTTTAATTTTATTAAGTATATTTATATGATAATAAATTTTTATGTGAAATTAAAATATAAGAATGTTTCTGTCTCCCTTAAGAAGCCTTTCTTGGGTGTTTATTGTCACAAATTTCTATGTTAGAGCATGATTGAAATACTCTGCTAGGAGCAGTAAGGTTTCAATTGTAACAATGTTTCTGAAAAATTAATATATAGAAATATCTGAATAAAACAAAAACCCAAAATATAATTCTTCTTTGGGACAAATGGTTTTATAAAATTTTAACTTAATAAGCCTTTTTATAGTGTCAAAAATGTTAGAATTATATACATTTCCTTGAATAGTTTGTCTGTCTGTCCAATCACTCCACACCCAAAATACTGAGTTCCTTTTATAGATAACTAGAAGTTTGTATAGATAAATTTTGTAAGAATTACTTAATAATTTAAAATATTAAATCTTGGAGTAGTTAGTTTAGAAATTTTCATTAAATTCTGATTAGTTTGTTTATCTATTTATTTTAATTTATTTTTCTTGTAATCAATATGTTTTATTATTATTCTGCTTGATGTTTCCTTTTTACTGTTCTTTTTTAATCCTCTATTTTTGTTTAATTGTTAGTACTATGATGATATTTTGACATATAATATACAGATTACTACTTTTTTTTATGCCTGCTTGTTTGTGGTATTCTGATAAGTAATCAAATTACTTACTAAAGTTACCGATAAACTGTGATGAATCACACGTGGGTGTCGCCAACGACTCCTGTCTTCCAGGAAGCAGGTGATTAAATGTGGGATCCCATTTTATAATGATTATATTGACAAANGCATTTTGGAGTGTCTAGAATGAATTAATTGGATTTACATTGATTCATATGGAAATAATTGCCTCAGTTTTCATCAGTTTTGGATTTTGCTGATTGTTTTCGGATGGATTATCAATGAAAATCAACTGTGTATGTATGTATGTTAGGCAAAGGCTTCTATACCATTAGCATATCTTCACCAAATTTGGCATAAATATTCTTTGAAACCTTAGAAAATAGGGAGTCCTCACCCTCTTTTAAGCATGAGCAATTTTTTGTGTTTGTGGTTGGTTCTGTTATTATAAATACTCGGGTTGATAAATGTAACACCATTGTCTTTATTACCCTCTCCCAACCTTACAATTTGCTGCCCCCTCTGATTGACACCAGACACTCACTACTAGTATTCTATAAAAATTATATCTGTTATGTAGAAATTAATACTTTATATATTTTTATATATTTAATAGTGTAATTGACTTGAGTTTCTTACACGATAATACCCAAAACTTTGCCTAAATTGTCGAACTGCATTTGTGCCGAATTGTACGGTCATGTTTAGTTTCTATATTCTTAAACATCAAAGACCTCATTTTGGATAGCACAACTTAGAAATTGTACCTGCCAGATTTTTGGAAGTTGAGTTTGACTCTATTCCAAGCACTTTTTTTTCTTTCAAGGTGTTTCTAAATTAATCAAAACTGTCAAATTATTAAGATTATTAATGGGTGACAACACATTCTACTTTAGTGACAAAGTATTCTAATTATATACTGTTTAGCTCGAATATGACTCATTTAATAAATATTCTGTTTCAAAGTATCTAAAGTTATTTAAACTTTTTAATTTAATGAGATTCTATTGTTCTATAAATTTATTGTAGAATGTATCAATATTATTAAAGGAAACTTTGAGTTAAATGGCGTGCACAAATCTTACCTTAACAAGTTGGGCACCTGTAGGATGTGGCATGCAATGTCTCTATTCTAAAATCTATAAGACAGGATTCTAATCTATAAGATTGGATCTGTTTGACTTAAAGTTGGCACTGGTTATTTGTCAAAAATTCTTATTCTGAGTTTATTTTGTACCTATAAACATCAATGATAAAAAGGAATATTTGTAAAGTCCCTCTGTAGTGGACTATGTCCACGTGGTGGTGACATAACTTTAACTTTTTCAGTGGTCGGTCTGTCTTCAACGTCATTACTTTGTCCCCAGAAGCTTCTCCTGTTTTCCTGTCCACTGCAGGGAGGACTTTACGATTGCACTGTATTTATTGGCTTATTTAAACGTAAAAATATTTTAATGTTTAAACATTTTTCTTGAATTTTAATTCACATTTAAAAACTTTGGAAGCTACAGAAATTGAAATTATTCAAAATTAATTTTAATGTAGTAATAATTTACTTTAATTATTTATGAAAAAATAAATAACAAATTTTGAAAAGTATTTAAGAAAGAAAGATGATTGTTGTTTAATTAAAAAGAAAACAAGGATCTTCCTGTCGTGCTTAGATATTTACGATACGACGGAGGATAAAAAAATAATTGCTTTTAGAATTGAAACCACATGTTGTCAAGTTTGTAGTTGTTGATATTACAATTGGCAGAACTTAAGTTTTGTCTGATGTATTTGCGATAATTTATTAATAATCTAATGCGTAAAATATGTTCGACGAATCGAAGTACAATTTAAATTTAATTTTCGGCTAATTCTTTGAAGATTATTTTTATTTTAAAATCTGACTTTAGTCATTTCAAACTCGTCTTCATTTACAAATTGGCATTAAATTTAAATGTAAATAAATTTGGAAATTTATAATTTATAATAGATTTATGCAGTCGAAATTTGGAATATTTTGTATGAGTTATTTTGGTATAGAACATGAGTCAGTCACCTCTTTCCTGTGCTAACTTTTTTTTTTTTTTGAATTACTGTGCTTGATGGAATATGTTCTGTTGATCTTTATCTATTTCTCGGTACTACAAAAATGTTAAAATTTTCAATATTTAATTTTCAACATAAAGAATTTTGGTTCTTATTTTCTTATATTTTTAATTTTGATAGATNAGTAAATTTAAAAATAGCTATTAAGAAGATTAATTAATATACCTTTTTGAATTCTAGAATGCTGAAATTTCAAAATTTAACTTAGAATTTGATTTTAAAAATAATTAATCTGAACTATTTTACCAAATTTATTTACTTTTACTTACATGACTAGAGAATTAATGATAAGATATTAGCTTACTCATAAAATTAAGTTAGCTACTTCTAGTTCTGTACCCTCAATATATATAAATGATATATGTGAACAACTCTTTTTAGGCTTGTTATAAGGCCTGTAATTTTCAACTTACTTCAAAAAGTTTTCATTTATAAACATAACTTTTGCATTAGAAACAATGAGAAAAATATGTATTTTAATTGAAGACTCCTGTAATAAAATAAGTTTAAAATCATGATATGCATACAAAATTCATTCGCAGAGCATACATTCAGACATGTAGATCAATATTTAATTAAAGATAACAGCAATTAATTCATCAAAAAGTATATAAATAGTAAAAGAACTATTATTTTGCAAATGCATTTAATCTATTCAGAAGTTGTTTTATGTACTGCATTTATAATTACTGTGTTTGCTTGATTCTAATGTGTTAGCAAATCTAATGTGCACTCAAGTTTCAAGACATCAAAACTACCGAAATTAAAGAAAGAAAGAAAAAAAAAGGCAAATGTGATGTGTGCTTTGTATCACCAGACATACAACAGAAAAAATTTAATGTATTTAAACAGTAATAAATGCTTGAGTGCTTCATAATATCCATATTTTCAAATATGTTCATTTATGACTTCATTATCAGATGTAAAGAATCTGCAGACCAATACAAATTACAATACGAGTTACATTTTAATGGCAATGTTTTGTGTCAGTATGTTTGAGCTTGAAATTTACAGATAGGTTGTATCACTCTGAAATATCCGTAAATGTGTTCTCCAGCATAGTAGATAACTCTCCACTTAAATGTAGATTTATAGGAGACTCGTCTGCTGGACGTCATTCATTCGGATAGCTATAGTTCAAAGACCACCGAATCATTCCAAAACCAAAATTAAAATCAAAGTAACGGAGAGGGTTATTTACTGTGACTATACAGACGACACACAGACACAAATTGCCAAGCAGAGTGAAGAGGAAACAACACAAATGACATTGCATTAAATCTGATTCTAACACTTGCCCCAATTTTTGAGACCAGAAAAGTTCCAAAAGAAAGGTATGCATTGCACTCAAGAAAAATCAGCAGTAAAGGTTAACTGCCATAATTTCCTTTTTACAAGAGAAATAAAATTATTAAATATTTTTTAACTTTTTTTCTGTCTTAATTAAATTTAAATTATCAAATTTTATATATGAAATATTTTGTTACTCGAAGCCAATTCTCGGGTATCCTGTGTGACGCATCTAGTCAAGATCAAATCGATAGTGCAACACTTAGTAAACGAGAATTAAAAATACAAAAGTTGGAGCAAGAGAAAGCTCAACTTATTAAAAAGTTAAAAGGTAATTTGTTTGTTTTTTGCATTTAATTTAGTCTCATAACACTAGTTTTAAGTTTTGTGGATATATACAAGTAGTCCTCTGTTAATGCAGTAGGTATACAAAGTACAGTACTTTGACACTGATCTGTATATATTTCGAGGGAGATCAACTAATGATGACGAGTAAGAAAAATTGTCCCATCGAATTTTGAGCAGATATTAAAAAACAAGGCATACATGTTGTGTACAGTGTACTTATTTCTCCTAATTTTTGTAGTATAGCATATAATAAAAATAGGCATATAT